GAAGAATGTTACTGACTCTCATGTTGCATACAATGAAGTGGGCGTTGGTGAAGATTGTTACTGACTCTCATGTTGCACACAATAAAATGGATGTAGATGAAGATTGTTACTGACTCTCATGTTGCACACAATAAAATCGACGTTGGTGAAGAATGTTACTGACTCTCATGTTGCATACAACGAAGTGGGACGTAGGTGAAGAATGTTACTGACTCTCATGTTGCACACAATAAAGTGGGCGTGAGCGAAAAATGTTACTGACTCATGTTGCACACAATGGCGTGGGCGTTGGTGAAGAATGTTACTGACTCTCATGTTGCACACAATAAAATCGACGTTGGTGAAGAATGTCACTGACTCTCATGTTGCACACAATGAAGTGGACGTACATGAAGAATGTTACTGACTCTCATGTTGCACACAATAAAGTGGACGTAGGTGAAGAATGTTACTGACTCTAATGTTGCATACAATGAAGTGGGACGTTGGTGAAGATTGTTACTGACTCTCATGTTGCACACAATAAAATGGGCGTTGGTGAAGAATGTCACTGACTCTCATGTTGCACACAATAAAATCGACGTTGGTGAAGAATGTCACTGACTCTCATGTTGCACACAATGAAGTGGACGTACATGAAGAATGTTACTGACTCTCATGTTGCACACAATGAAGTGGACGTACATGAAGAATGTTACTGACTCTCATGTTGCACACAATAAAGTGGACATAGGTGAAGAATGTTACTGACTCTCATGTTGCATACAATGAAGTGGACGTTGGTGAAGATTGTTACTGACTCTCATGTTGCACACAATAAAATGGATGTAGATGAAGATTGTTACTGACTCTCATGTTGCACACAATAAAATCGACGTTGGTGAAGAATGTTACTGACTCTCATGTTGCATACAACGAAGTGGACGTAGGTGAAGAATGTTACTGACTCTCATGTTGCACACAATAAAGTGGACGTAGACGAAAAATGTTACTGACTCATGTTGCACACAATGACGTGGACGTTGGTGAAGAATGTTACTGACTCTCATGTTGCACACAATAAAATCGACGTTGGTGAAGAATGTCACTGACTCTCATGTTGCATTACACACAATGAAGTGGGACGAATGACATGAAGAATGTTACTGACTCTCATGTTGCACACAATAAATAAAGTGGACGTAGGTGAAGAATGTTACTGACTCTCATGTTGCATACAATGAAGTGGACGTTGGTGAAGATTGTTACTGACTCTCATGTTGCACACAATAAAATCAACGTTGGTGAAGAATGTCACTGACTCTCATGTTGCACACAATAAAATCGACGTTGGTGAAGAATGTCACTGACTCTCATGTTGCACACAATGAAGTGGACGTACATGAAGAATGTTACTGACTCTCATGTTGCACACAATAAAGTGGACGTAGGTGAAGAATGTTACTGACTCTCATGTTGCATACAATGAAGTGGACGTTGGTGAAGATTGTTACTGACTCTCATGTTGCACACAATAAAATCGACGTTGGTGAAGAATGTTACTGACTCTCATGTTGCATACAATGAAGTGGACGTAGATGAAGTATGTTACTGACTCATGTTGCACACAATAAAGTGGACGTAGATGAAGATAGTTACTGACTCTTATGTTGCAGACAATGATGTGGACGTAGATAACATCAATAACTAATCTAGATACAGAGAATAAACCACATATTGGTACACATGACACGAAGAAAGACCATGAAAAGTGAAAAGCTAACATTACACTTTGAATAATCACATTTTGCAAATAAATAGCACATGGCATATCTGTCATGATTAACTTGTGTATTAAGTTTGGTGAACCTAGCATGTATAGTTTCGGTGATATGCTGTGGCCAGGTAACCATCAAACACATTTTGCACCAAGTCAAGTTTCCATGGAAACAACAACAAAACAAATTCTGAAATAAAAATTAAAATAGCAAAAGGCACATCAATGGGTAATGATTAACGTGTGTGAAGTTTGGTGAACCTAGTAAGAGATATACTCCGAACAAAACCATCAAACATATTTGGCAATAAGTCGTGTTTCCACTGAAACAGCAAAACAAAACAAATTTTTTAAAAATTTAAAATAGCAAAAGGCACATCAATGGGTAATGATTAACGTGTGTGAAGTTTGGTGAACCTAGCATGTAAACTTTAAGAGATATGCTCCGGACAAAGTTTAGGGATGGACGGAAGGTTGGACGGAAGGACAGAATGAACGCTATATACCCACGCTACTTCGTAGCGGGGTTATAAAAATACCAATGTCCCTAACTTATTTTGTCCAGTATATAAGCTTCTTGTTGATCTGTAATTAATAATGAAAATGTAAAAATATTTACTCCATGATAATTGAATGAATTGTTAACCTTTTTTTCTTTACCTTTGGCCAACGTTTTCCAAGCAGTTTGGATAGAACCATGCTGAATTTTCATCTAAAAACATTACATTACTGTTATTGGAGTTACTTAGCTCAAAACAAAAGACCAAACATAGTTCTTGCTGTTGAGGTTGTAGGAGAGGCGATGGAAATCTTATGATTTCTGTCGTTGCATATCATGAAAATGTTTTTTCAGTAACGTGAACATCATCAACAATGATAATTCTTTGAATACTTCGATGGGCGATGGAAATCTTATGATTTCTGTCGTTGCATATCATGAAAATGTTTTTTCAGTAACGTGAACATCATCAACAATGATAATTCTTTGAATACTACCTCTAACACTTGATTTCCTTTTTCCTTGTTTCCGAGTCCACAGGTTTTTTTTCAAAATATAATCCATGTCCAAGGAAAAGTGTTTTCTTTCTCTTTGTGGTCCACCAAAATAGGATCTGCAGGAGTTATCACCACATGCTGAAGAGCATTTCCTTAAGTGCCTAAAAAGGACCTGGTGCTCTGGGACTTCTGGGGATGGATGAAGGGCCTAAACATCAAGTGTCAGAAGCTGTTTTCTAGGAATTATGATCATTGTTAATAATGACACTTGACTGCCCACAGAAGACTTGGTGGGCCCAGAGTACCACCCCCACACGAATTATTACAACCATAAACAGCACAGACTAAATGTTAACTGTTCAGGCAAATAGACCTGCTTTTGACTGTTGCGACAACACTTGCAGTACTCCCTGCTGTTAACATATTACATACTGGTTGTCATTTTATGACATTATTTCTGGTTTATTTCTCATCCAAGAAGCACGAAAACAGGAATTATCTCTGGCTGGATAATCTCCCATCACCAAAACTAACCCTTGTCTACCATTTGGGGTGTTCAAGTTATGCAGTGAGAGAGATTCATGCATTCATGACAACCAACCTCAGGTCAGAGATAAGAGGTAACTCACCAAAGTGGCTGTCAGCTTGTTCAGGCAGTTGTTTGATCCAATCCAAGTATAAGTTGCAAATCTAGTGGAATTTAGCATCCCCATGATACAAGTGACACCACCTTCTCTTTTTCCCCATGTGGAAGCTCAAGAAGGAACAATGGACTGTGCAATGACACTCCATGACATTGGGATTGCAGGAGGACATACAAGTGTTAAATGATGCCCACTGACAAGCTGACATAATCTGTTCAAGAGATAGAGTTTCCCATGATGGAAGAGAAAAGGATAACGCTCACAACTCACATGGTCTGAGAGCTCCATATGCTGGGTGAGTGAGTGAGTGAATATTTAACGTCACATCGGCAATATTGCAGCCATATCGTGACGACCATATGCTGGGAGTTGATCCTACACGATAGCTTAAATGATATTACCCAGGCCACAGCTGTGGTGTGTGTGTGTGTGTGTGTGTGTGTGTGTGTGCTCTCTTCTTCCCCCCTCCCTCTCTCTTCCTTTCTTCCCTCCTTCATTTTCAGAAGTGGGGGTTCGAACCCCCTGAACACACACACACACACACACACACACACACACACACACACACACACACACACACACACACACACACACACACACACAAACACACACGGATCCGCCAATGCTCTGAAGGTACCATTTAAGGGATCTAACAGGCCACAAAGGCACAAACCCTATCTAGTAATGATCGATCCAACGTTGGAGCCAGAACCAATAGTGTCTGTCCTGGTTCTGAGCTAGGACTGTCTTTAGCGTAACTCTTGCTGGATCATTTGAGAACATGACTGATCTAACATCCAAGGAATGGAACTCCAATATTGTAAGATCTGTAGCCAAGTCCAAAAGAAAGGTGGTTTTACAGGCAAGGTGAGATATTGAGGCTCTTAGAGTTCATGAAATACAAGTTTCAGAAACAAGCAAACACATGTGCTCATGTGTCCCACATGAAAAATTATGAGGATTATGCGCTTCCACAAAGTGAGCTGACTCAAGTGGAACATGTTTTGGTGGACCACATGGAAGAAAGAAAACAGTTCCATAAACCTCAGAACTCATATGTCAGAGGGACGAATTATGAATTTTCCTAAAGATGTGTAAATGATTCTTAATAAAGTTTTTTCAAACTGTATCCACAGTATGTGCATTCATATAATCAGATTGAGTCCATTTGGAAATTTAAACAAGAAATGAATAGTCAAAAACAAGAAATGCATAGTCAAAAACAAGAAATGAATAGTCAAAAGAACTCATAGTGAAACCAACAAACAATACAAGAATGTTTTACAATTAACAAGTTAATCATAAAATTAACAAGGTTCACAAATCAATCAAATTTCTGCAAAGTAAGTACAATGGCAGCACAAAACAGAGTTGCAGTACAAACTTAGTTGGCAGTATATAATATAATATCAGTTAAAAAGGCAACAGTAACTTCCACATCACCACTGATCAGATGTCACCAGCTTCTATTGAATCTCAACACAAACAATGTTATACAGTTACAACAATATACCACACTGCCACATAGCAATTTGACATGTCTATTTGGCATGAAAAGGTCATCACCCGCAATTGCAATGAAAGAAAGTTTCATAAGTACATACCAAAGCATCCAGTGTGTACCGACAAAATCCATTAACCAACATCGAAGTATAGATGTTGTAGATAGGAGTGCATCTTCCAATCTCATTCTCCAACTGCAAGGGCCATTGAAATGAGGCATCAGTAAAGAAAAACAACAACAACACAAATTTGTTGAAGGTGATTAGGAGTACTTGATAAGATATTCTCTAAATTCATGATTCTATTGCACATACTCACCCCATAAAGTGCATCTCCAACAAAGGAATCGACTATAGCTGTTAACCGATGAGCAAAATTCCTTGCTTCCTGTAAATAATACTCAGAATTACAACACTTGTAATAAACCTGTCTGCATGGGTACATGGGAACATCTACAGAATTGTGGGGAAAAGAATGACCTGATAGCTGCAGCTGGAGCCTATCAAGACCCATAAAACAAAACAGTATTGAACACTGTGATAAGATAAGTAATCTTGCGAATGTGAATCTTAGCTGTTTACAAGTTTAAGTGAGTTTAGTTTTACGTCACACTCAGCAATATTCCAGCTATATCGCAGCTACCAGTTTAAGGCTAGATCAGGTTATTTTCACATTGTCTACCAAAGTCACAGTTTGATAATGCACCTAGACTGGAGGCCACTGGATCATAGAATACTCTACCCTCTACCCTGTAGCAAACCTGATCCACCAGATTATTATTATGATCTACGGCTACATTTCCGAATACCAGATGCTTCAGATCTGATCACTGAATCACATATGTCCCATATGTGCTCTGACTTTCTATTTCATTGCCATAGAACCCTATCAACATCAAATCACAGGAAAAGTGAGTGAGTAAGTTTAGTTTTACGCCGCACTCAGCAATATTCCGGTCTGTAAATAATCGAATCTGGACCAGTCAATCCAGTGATCAACAGCATGAGCATTGATCTGCGCAATGGGGAACTGATGACATGTGTCAACCAAGTCAGCGAGCCTGACCTGATCCCGTTAGTCGCCTCTTACGACAAGCATAGTTGCCTAATTTGCGGCAAGCATGGGTTGCTGAAGACCTATTCTACCCCGGATCTTCACGGGTTCACAGGAAACAGGAAAAGAGTGTAAGAAATTCCAACAAGGACCTCAATAAAGCCACATTTCCATGTCACCTTCAGTCCACCATAACGTCAAGCTCTTGACAAGCACAGGATTCTCCTATTCCAAACTCTTGCCTTGACCATGCAATCTGGGTATTTGGTTCCCATCACAGACTTTGGTTAACGTATTCGCAAGTAGTTACAGGTTGTCAATGAGGTTCCCACAACATCTTTTGTAACTCTTACTAAAAGACATACAACCAGATTAAATAGGTACTACCACATCAGGCTAGTGCCTGGCCATATTTTTACAGCCCTTTATCTAAAATGAGATTGGTAAGGATTTTCACCAGCTACTACAGAAGGTAGTAACCCTTTGATCCTTAGCTTTGCAGTTTGTTTGTTTGTTGTTGTTTAATGCAGTCTCAACAATATTCCAGCCTCAATCTGACTTGAGTCAACCACCCAAGTACATTAAGTCGCCTCTTATGACAACAGGTTGCTGAAGACCAATTCTATCCTGGATCTAAACAGTTGGCTTTGTAGTGAAATGTATGACAACTGAATGACCGGAAGTGACATCATAATTTGTTAGAGAAATGAAACCTATAATGGAACATAATAACAAGAAGTGACATCATTAATCATATCAAAGGATGCAGAAGTGATACCATAACAAAACAAACAAACATCATTTCATAATCTTTCGAACCAAAAACATGGCTGCCGTATATCTTTGAAAACTTGACTTGAACCTTTTGAACAAACTCTGGTGTCATAAAAGGTGAGGACGAGCATGTGAAATGTTTTTCACTCCACTGGTCCCATGCTTTCCATTGGAACCATGACAGACAAACATGCCATGTTATAAGCCCACTCATGATGCAGACAAAAGTTAGTGTCAATTCCTGTTCATTATTTACCTCAAAAGGGCTGGTACAGAATAAAACTAATTAAATATCTGACATATATTCTACTGTGCACCCAAATCCTACATATATATGTTTTACTTACTGTTTTGACTGCCTCTGAACCATTGTTCCGTAGATACTCCTGGGTATTGTTCAAGCTGTCTACAACTGCACCGATGTTTGACTGCATCACAGAAACATGTTTAACACATTATCAATTGCATAATCTTTGGATGTTAGGATTTAATTTAATGTCAACTTTATGTAACAAGTGAAAATGATATCATGTTATAATAATAATAATAATAATACATTTGTAAAGCACCTAATATCCACCTTACAGATGCTTAGTGGCGCTAACACAGTGATAAAACTGAACATATATACATATAACAGAGAATGATTATCTACTGGTACACAGATAGAAATAGGTGAGTCTTAAGCTGTGATTGTATTGGTGTCTTTAGTGGTTGTATTTCTGAGGTTTGGGGGAAGCGAATTCCAGAGTTGTGGGCTGACGAAAGAGAAGGCGCGTTCGAAAAATCCATTTAATGATTTTGGTTGAGTCAAGAAAGAGTCACTGGAGGATCTGAGATTCCGCTGAGGTGAGTAAGGGGAGATAGGTTGGAAAGTTTTTATTGTAGAGACAGTCGTGAGTGAGGGCGAGGAGTTTGAAGTTGATTCTTGCAGAGATGGGAAGCCGGTGAAGTGACAAGCACAGGAGAGATATGGTCATAGAGGGAAGAATGGGAGATACATCGGGCCACTGAGTTCTGAATTCTTTGAAGTTTCTGAATTGATTTGGATGACATGTTGGTGTACAGTGATTTGCAATAGTCAAGTTTTGAAGTTACTAGGCACTGAATCAATGTTTTGCAGGTTTGAATGTCAGGATAGTGGCATACTCTGCTGAAGATGAAAATGCTGTAGTAGCAAGCTTTGCTGACAGAAACAATATGGGCATCCATGGACATGGTGGAATCAACAATTACTCCCAGATTTCGTGCACTGTGTGAGGACAAAACCTCAGCATCACCTATGTGAAGACACATGGAGTCAGATTCTAGCTTTCTGAGCTGGTGTTTGGATCCAATGAGAAGAAATTCACTTAATAGCAAACTGGAATTTATAGAAATATCTTACTACAAGTTGAAGAGGAATCAACAATAACAGTATATTTGTACACAGCAATTGAGAGAAAGGACAAGGGTTAGTTTGTTTACCAATTCACAGTGGAAGTAGTGATATCAAGACACACTTAAAAGACTTCCAGTTCTCCAGCTAAAGAAAACAACAAAGATATTTTCATTACTGGAAATTATATACCAGTAATTTATACCTTATCATAGCTGAGAACACATTAATGTAATGTGATGTAATGTAATTCAACATAATCCTTACAGTAATATTTTCAAGGCCTTTTATCACAGGGAAACAATGTGAGTAAATCAATAATTTCTTAAACACCTCAACACATTAAAAGAATTCATAAGCTGCCACCCTCTGCATGGCTGGGAGACCAGAAAAAAATGACCGCATACGTAATTCCAATTTACCAAAGACCTACTGAGTGAAATTATGAATAGATCCCCTTAATGACTGAAATGACATATATATCTTTAATGTTTCGACATTCTGATAAAGCATCAGTTATCATTGCTTCTGATTGTAAGGATACTACCTCTGTTACATCATTATCATAATCCAGTATTTTGGCTGTAAACAAATTTTAAGCATTTCTAAAATTATTTTCAACAGAATTCCTCTTCACTGTCAACACAAGTAATAACATACTGTAGCTTGGAACTTTTGTGCATGTGCAACCTGGAGAAACTTCTCTTCTTTCCTGTATAAACTAACTAGAAGGAGATAACTGGAAAGATGGGAGGGATTTCTCCTGATGAATACAGGAGGCATTCTTAGAAATTAGCAATGTTTGCTACTCTGTTAAAACTATTGCAAACACAAAAGAGTTGTTCATGGGTAACTATTAGGCATCACAATAGTTATAATGGTTAACTAGCATTGTCACTGAGGTGGCCTAGTCCCTGGCTGCAAATTATCAAATCAAACTTAACAAGAAGACAAAGTCATCAATATCCCTTGCAACAGAAAAATACTCTTTATGAATATGTCAAATGTTTTGGAGTGTATATGGCAAAGTGGAAGAAGAGTATTGAAAGGTTTTTAAGATCTGCTCCAGAAAGGAGCACTACCACCAAATTCAGTTAAAGTCAAACTTTCTGCCTTGGAAATGCAACAAGATGACATCCTCATAGTCACGGCCTAAGTCATGTTTCCATGGATACAAAAAAAAATATAATTCATATCTGGGTCTAACCCCCAAAAGGCACATCTAGGGGTCATGCTTCATATGTGTACCAAGTTTCATGAAGCTAGCATGTATAATTTAGGAGATCTGCTCCAGACAAGATGACATCCTCACAGTCACAGCCTAAGTCATGTTTCCATTGAAACAGCAAAAAATAAAATTCATATCTGGGTCTAACCCCCCAAACGCACGTCTGGGGATCCTGCTTGATATGTGTACCAAGTTTGATGAAGCTAACAAGTTTGGTTATGCTATCATGAATAGTTTAGGAGATCTGCTCCGGACAAGATGACATCCTCATAGTCACAGCCTAAGTCATGTTTCCATGGAAACCGCAAAAAATAAAATTCGCATCTGGGTCTAACCCTCAAAAGGCACGTCTGGGAATCATGGTTGACATGTGTACCAAGTTTGGTTAAGCTATCACGAATAGTTTAGGAGATATGCTTCGGACGAATGTGACGGACGCAAGGACACACACTGACGGACAGAACTCGTTTCTCTAAAAAGTAATTAAAGTAAGGCTGTAGTTAAAGATGTTAAATGTCAACAAAAACATGACCAGTAAACCTCTCTTGAAATCTTGCTCTGTAGTTGTTCAAACACACAAATATTTTCAAGACTCACTTTGACCTTGACATGAATGTCATGGTGTATGAAATATGCAAAAAGAAAAATACAGAAATTGCTTATCAAAAAACATTCAAGGGAAGTCTTGAAAGTCTATGTTTAGTGACACAAATTTGTATATAGGAATCGATGAAATAGTAAAAAGTATACCAGGTCACCAAAATCGACTTGGCCCTGCACCTTCCCAAGATGATGCTTTGTGTCAAATATGAAGAAAAGCCAGTGAACGGTTGTGAGACGTCCTGCTGACAAGGTGAACATGCAGGTTAACAAACTGAAATATTCAGTGTGTCACTGTGGCCCTGCGCCATACCTAGATGAAGCTTTGTATCAAATATGAAGAAAAGCCAGTGAACAGTTCTTGAGATATCTCTCTGACAAGATTAAAACGTTAAAGTCCCCTTGTGACCTTGAAATGTTGGTCAGGGTCACTAAACCTGACTGGGACCTTTCTCATGCAATGATGAACCTTGGTATCAAATATGAAAAAAATCTAGTCAACGGTTCTTAAGATATTCCAAATGTTACGTACGTACGGAGAGAGCCTAATATTATATCCCTTGCTTTACGCTAAACACACACAGTCGTCGGAGGATAACAATTGTAAGAAAACTATCCATATTACATCATTGCCATAAATCCAAATGTTGAGATTTTTTAACAGCAGCTGCAGTATTATAGATCTGACAGTTCTTCCCTGCGCAAAGGTTGGGAAGATCCGACTTCTTTCCAAACATCTATAAACGAGAGACAGATGCTTCAGGATGTCACTAGGAAAATATTCTTTGTTATATCTTTCAGACTGCTTCAGATCCAAAGGAGATATGTGATCATTTACCTCCAGATGACTTGAAAATCACGCAGCAGAACAGTCAAAATGTGATACCTTTTCTCAAATTATCATTTTCATTATCTGAAAGGTTCCTCCATGTGCAGAAGAAAGGTTTCACTGTCAGGTAACTACATCTTTAGCTTGTATGTCCAGAACACCAGAAACTTGTTTTTAAGACATGTTGCAAGCAATTGCAGATGATGAGTGTCCCACCGGATATCTGTTGATTGGGCGACTCACAGGCCAGGATCTCATTGATGAGTTTTGTGTTGATGATAAGTCCCTTCTCGTAAGCTTACAATAGCTCTTTGTCACTCCATATAACTAACCCCTCTCATGTTGGATTGGGTTAGATATAAACATATTGAACAATAGATATCACCGCTTCTATGAATACTGTAGAAATCCTGTACATGTGGCTGCCATAAAGTGGTTCCTGGAGTACCTCCCATGCTTCAAACATCCATCATCTACAGTCAGAGGACGGGCAGGTGGGAGGGAGCACGTTTGATATATAGGAGGTATTGTTACTTTAATTCCAAGGAAAGTCTACATGTAGAGTAATCAGACAATATGTCATATTAATACTAGAATTATAGTTCTATTTCTGATATTTTTAAATGCTGTCTACCTTCTATTCTGGAGATCCTGAATAATTAGATAAGATTCATATCTCTTATCTTAATTCCGGTCTTGACTACCAAGTCTATGAATATGATATTTCTAGACATCATTGCTTTCATCATTTCAAGTCATTATAACGTGACCCACTACATCATGATGACAACACTTCTGGTTCTATGACATGATCATTGGCAGCATTATGATTTCAGTTCTAGTTTTACTTTAACCCATGACACCATTCCCTTCTGCGACATCACTTTCAGTTGACCACCTTTCCTTGGCCAGAAGTTAATTCTGAAAAATATAGAATCTTCTACAAAAGCTACTGTACAGGGCCCTTATTCTCGAAATGTTCGTAATCTTAAGAATTCTTAACGTTGATCATAGCCAATGTGATCTGAGTAAATATGTGTGAATATGTAGTGTGAACTTCACTGGCATCCTGCAACTACCTGTTTGACTGAAACAGATGACGAAGCCAGCAGACTGGCAGCAACTACCAGTTTGACTGAAACAGATGACGAAGCCAGCAGACTGGCAGCAACTACCTGCTTGACTGAAACAGATGACGAAGCCAGCAGACTGGCAGCAACTACCCGTTTGACTGAAACAGATGACGCAGCCAGCAGACTGGCAGCAAATAACTGCTTGACTGAAACAGATGACGCAGCCAGCAGACTGGCAGCAACTACCTGCTTGACTGAAACAGATGACGAAGCCAGCAGACTGGCAGCAACTACCCGTTTGACTGAAACAGATGACGAAG